TAGCAAAGAGAGTTAGAATTCAGACTTATGCAGTCTGATTCCCTAGTCCAAGCTTATTAACTACCGTCACCACCACATTATTCTATAATTAGAGCCGATTATTTAGCTCCCCCAAAAGAGACCATCAAATCTAATTGCATTGTTCTGTATAATTCCTTGTTTTTAAGTGTCATTCTTGCTCCTCGGTGCTGTTTATAGTGCCTTGCCCCCACTTTTCATGTCAATAGATTTTATCAGTGGCTGCATCTTCTTGTTGCAATTGTACCAGTCAGACTCCCTCATTCAGTATATATGTATGTATGTACAGTATGTATTTAGAAACAAGGTCTCATTCTGACACCCAGGATGGAGTAAAGTGGTATGATCAAGGCTCACTGCAACCTCTGTTTTCCAGGCTCAGGTGATTCTCTCACCTCACCCTCCCGAGTAGCTGGGACTAAACATTCACCACCACGCTCAGCGAATTTTTGTATTTTTTGTAGAGACTGAGTTTTGCCATGTTGCCCAGACTGGTCTTGAACTCCTGGGCTCAAGCAGTCCCTCCGATGTGGCCTCCCACAGTGCTGGGATTATAGGCATGAGCCATCGTGCTCAGCCCCCTCATTCATTTTAAATACTGTTTTTATTTCCACTAGTATTAATCATTTTGGCATGGCCAATATCCACACAGATAGCTCCATGGCCTCCAGAATTCCGTGACCTCCAGTGATCCTTCATACTACTTTAAACCTTTTATTTATTGATAACTGTATCAACTCCCAGATTTCAGTTTCAAGCATCCAGTTCTCTGACCACCACTGATTCTCTTTCCAGCTTACCCCAGTACTGGAGCCAACAATTTTGGGACAGTCATCAGGACTTCCATTCCTTCATTTCACTAAATGTTGTTATCTGTCTTCCTCATGATGTCTTTATTTTTCTTAGCTTAGGTTCCATGGTCTGTTAATACAATCACCTTTTTCTAACCTCTGTCACGTTCTGCCCAATGAAACCAATATTCTACCTACTTTTACCTAAATAGCCAAATAAAGCTAGTTTCACTTTAAATATTCATGGCCCCAAGTCTTCAGTGCTTCTTAGTCAATTCATTCTCACCCTTTTTTTCTAATCTTGAAACCCCTTTTTTCAGTTGATGGTATTGGTTTTACTAAAAGAACAAAACAAGCAGAAAAGAGACTTTATCAGCAAATCTAGATGCCTGAAATAGTAAAGCTAGTAGAGTGTTGCGAGCAGAAGGTGACCTTTCAGGGACTAAAATGTGAGTAGGTCATAAGGAGCTAGAGACTAATATTTTCCCAGATGTGCCACTGAAACACTGACTTTGTTAAATGAATCTTTCCCCATAATAGATTTACTGGCTAAATATGAGAAATGCTGAAAGCTGTATATATTTTGAATCTCTCTTTCCCTCTATCTCTGATGTTCTGATACAGGCAAGGAAAGATGAAAAGTTACAGGTAGGAAGTAAGTTTCCATCTGCTGGCCTAGATGTTACTGAAGCATTGGTTCAAACTTTAGCCTACTTTAGTATAACCTAGAAGACTTGATGAAACAGATTGCTTGGTTCCACCTAGAGGGACTGATTTCACACGTCTTGGGTGGCTCCTGAAAATTTGCATTTCCAACAAGTTCTTAGGTGACACTGATGTTGCTTGCTGATTTAAGGAATTGGGAATCACATATTGGGAGTCGTTTCACTTGAGGAAGAATTCAGCTGCCAAGAGTGTTGAGAATGGTTAGGATTTTGAGCTATAAATATAGGAAATAGCTGCTGTGGAACAATATAATAGGAAATTAAAGCTGATTAATAACTTTGAGGAACTTTGTCAGTGAGATATTTGAATTTGTAGAGGACCCAAGCAGCTATTTTTAATGACTTTCTCTGGCAGTGTGACCTTTCAGAGAGCAGGTGCAGAACCACAGCAGTTAGTATGCAGTTTAGAGGAAATCCTACAATCTGCTTACCTCAAATAGTTACCATCAAGCACTCCATCTTTGCTTTGCGTTACCATTATGAGTGCTAAGATGGCAGCTCTATGATCTGTCTGCCCTTAGCCTGTCGGCTTCATTTTATTTATTTGTATTCTTATTATTTATTATTCATTTACTGATTTTAGTTTTAAAAGTTGTATATGGCAGAAGTGTTAGAAAGTAGAGACTAAAGTGTCTTGAAGTAATTCTGTCAAGTAATTCCATGGCTTTGGGCAAATACCACGTCTCTTGTTTTCTCATTTGGGAAGTTTTAAAATAGAAGAATTAAAAACTTGCAGTCCTCCATTTCTGAACGTAATTGACAGATCTTTAAAAATCTTAAAGAATTACAGTTTGCGAGAATCATTAGTTAGGTTTCTGCCTGAGGAGAGTCCCATGTAGTTCTTTTTAAGTGGCTAAAAACTAATCGGACAAGCTGGTTTTCTTTAAGGTTTGTGGTATTTCTGGCAGTAAGTTGCACTACTGTTCCTGGATCTCTGTACTTGTCAGGCTTTGACACTGAAATGTCTTCATAATGGATTATGCCTTACTCTAGTCCTCACTCGTGTCAACTGTCACTTCCAAAATGACTTTATAGTATCTGTACTGAGCCTGAAGTAGGAAGGAACCACAAGAAATACTTTGAAACGTGTTTGGGGACATGGTAGGAGAGGAGAAGGGCAAGTCCTTTTTCCTGTCCTTTCTCTTATGTCTCCCATAGCCAATTCCGTGAGCAAGTAAGATTGAGAAGTATGCTTTTCCTTGGCTCATGTCTTAAATATTTGTCAGCGTTTTTGAAACCAGATACTGTGTTCTTTTCATAGTGTTGTAATTGCTTATTCTTTAAAATCATATAATTTTGGAAACTTGTGGATTTGTTTTCGATAACTTTGCTGAGGAACAACTGATAACTTGTACATATTTAAATTGATAACATGTCCATAAAGTATACAGTTTGATGAGTTTTGACATGTCTGTATACCATAAAACCACTACCATAATAGCAAGAGAGCATCCGTTTTCATTGTGCAACCCTTTGTTATGAAACCACTGGTCTACTTTTCCTCGCTGTAGACCGGTTTATATTCAAGATTTAAATGAATGGAAAAATGTTGTATATATGTTTTGGTGGGGAGGGGAGTGCATATAATCTTGAGGTTTATTCATGTTTCCCGTATTAATGGTTTAGTCCTTTTAATTGCTGAATAATATGCTTCTGTGGATTTTCTGCCATTTTTTTATTCGCTTGTTTATGGACAATTGGGTTATTTCCAGTTTGGGGTTATTATCAAAGCTGCTGTAAATATTTATGTACAGTCTGAGTGTGGACAAGTGCTTTTATTTTTCTTGGATAAATACCTAGAAGTAGAGTGGCTAAGTCATATGCCAGTTCTACGTTTAACTCTTAAGAAACTGCCAAATGTTATACCATTTTATATTCTAAAGAGTTCCGGCCGCTCTGCATTGTTACCAGCACATTATGTGGTCACAACTTTGTTTTTAGCTTTTCTAGTGGTATCTATGCATGTCTATCTTGGGAGTCTCAGTGTCTTTTTTTTTTTTTTTTTTTTTTGAGATGGAATTTTACTTTTGTTGCCCAAGCTGGAGTGCAATGACATGATCTTGACTCACTGCAACCTCTGCCTCCTGGGTTCGAGCGATTCTCGGTACTCAGTCTCCGAGTAGCTGGGATTACAGGTGTGCGCCACTATGCCTAGCTAATTTTTTTAATATTTTTAGTGGAGAGGGGATTTCACCATTTTGGCCAGGCTAGTCCTGAACTCCTGACCTCAGGTGATCCCCCCGCTTCGTCCTCCCAGAGTTATGGGATTACAGGCATGAGGCACTGCACCTGGCCTCAGTATTGTTTTAATTTGCATTTTATACATGACTGATGACAGTGGGCTGCTTATATCTTTGGTGAAGTGTCTGTTCAGATCATTTGTCCCCTCTTTAAACAAGTGTTGGCTGGGCGTGGTAGCTCACGCCTGTAATCCTAGCACTTTGGGAGGCTGAGGTGGGCGGATTGCTTGAGAGACCAGCCTGGGCAACATGGTGAAACCCTGTCTCTACAAAAAATACAATTAGTCACATGTGGTGCTGCCCAGCTTACTTAGGAGGCTGAGATGGGAGGATGGTTTGAGCATAGGAGGCGGAGGTTACAAATAAGCTGAGATTACACCACTGTACTCCAACCTGGGCAATAGAGTCAGACCTTTTCTCAAAAACAAACCAGAAGAAACCCCAAACAAGTGTTGGGTTAACTGTCTTTTATAATTGGATTGTAGGAGTTCTTTATATATTCCAGTTTCAATTTCTTAAACATTTTGCAAATATTTTTATCAGTTGGAGTCTTGTTTTTTTATTTTTTAAGTTTTTTTGAAGAATAACTTTTTGATGAAGTCTACTTTATAAGTTTTTCTCTTTATAGTTCTTTTTGTGCTATTTTATTTCATTTCTCTTTTGGTTTTTCTGAAAGTTAAATATCTCAGATTCTCATTTTTAAGCTATTGGACAAAAAAGTCATAGGAGACAACTGTAAAGCTAATAGTGTATCTGCCTTATGTTTGTGTTTATTGTTACAGTTTTACAGTAAATTGTTTATGATTCTAGTATTTTTGTGTGTTCCTTTTGGTTTTTTTAGACTTGTTAAAAAGGCCTGTAAAATTGTTACCGTTTCAGTTCCTTTGTTTTGTGAGTGAGAGAACTGAGGTTTATACAGGTTACAAGACTTTGCTAATGGTAAGGTTTATGTTTCCACCAAGACCAAAAAGGCCCCAGGTCTTCTCAAATCCCATTTCACCGTTCATTTCCCTTTTTAAATGATTCTGTTGCTAAAAATTTACTATATACTGCAACATATTAAAAATAAATTTAGTTTATTTCTGATTATTAGTATCCTCATTGAATGCATATTATTAAAATTATTATGTAGATTAACCTCCTGAAAGAATCATTATTTCCCCTTAAAATGTTATTAAGGGAAGATGTTGAATTTAACATATATATATTTTTAATTCTTTCCAAAGGTCTGTAAACAGATTTGGCTAGGATTGTTTGATGATAGATCTTCAGCAATTCCAGACTTCAGGGATCCACAAAAAGTGAAAGAGTTTCTACAAGAAAAATATGAAAAGAAAAGATGGTGAGTGAATAGTTTATATGTAGAATAAAGCCTCCCCAAATCACATTAACTGTGGATAAGGTTAGTCTGACACAATGAAGGATAAAAGACATAGACAGTGAGAGCTAGATAAGTATATAATTCATTATCTCTTGGCTTTTTGTTGGTTTGGTTTCCAAAAACCTTTACTTCTACTTTATTTTAACTCATCTGTGCCTGGCAGCAGCCTTTTTTTTTTTTTAATAATAATTACCAGGAAAGTTAGGGATTCTTTCTTCTACTCATTCTCTATCTTAGTTAGCTTCTTTAAATGTATTTTTTCCTACAAAGTCTCCATTCTTAAAAATCATTAATTTAGCAAGTATTTATTGAGTCATATCTTTTTTTAAATTTATTGAGTAGCATCTTCAATGTACTAGGCACTTTGCTAAAGTTCTGGTGTAGTAATCCGTCTACCTAATTGTCTGTTGTAGTCTTCACTCAAAGTATTTTTTTCTTTCTACCTAAGAAATCAGTTTACTTCCTGGTTAAGAAGGGAGTATTTATATTTCTCTAACTAAATATATCAGATGTTAAGTTTTAAAAATTAATTCCAACAGGTTGTTCATATAGCTAGTAAGCCCCTTACAGTAGAATAGGGACTATATACATAAAGCTAGTGTTCATCTACTCAGGGCTCTTCATTTTCAGCTATATGAGCACAATTTAAGTATAGTTACTAAGACTCTTTACTCTTTTGGTTGTTTCTTTAATAGTATTGAATAACGGATATTTCATCTTGGGAGGTGAAGAAGATGGGGCAGAGAGTCAAAATAGGAGGTAGATAGTGGGGAAGTAAGGGGCCTCTTGTTTGCCTGAGAAACTGTATTTCAACCCAGAGAATATGTTCAGAGCCTGTTTTGATCCTGAGAGAACATTTGACGTGGTTTACAGCAGAGGTCTTTACCTTCATTCAGGAGCACATTGGCTCTGACTTGCATGCTCTATCAAAATTTGTATTCTTACTGCTTTCCAAAATGGACTACTTTTTTTCTTTTTTTTTTTGGAGACTGAGTTTTGCTCTTGTTGCCCAGACTGGAGTGTAGTGGCACGATCTCTACTCACTGCAACCTCCGCCTCCCGGGTTCAAGTGATTCTCATGCCTCAGCTTCCCAAGTATCCAAGATTATAGGCACCCACCACCACGCCTGGCTAATTTTTTATATTTCTAGTAGATATGAGAGATGGGATTTTGCCTTGTTGGCCAGGCTGGTCTTAAACTCCTGACCTCAGGTGATCCGCCCATCTCAGCCTCCCAAAGTGCTGGGATTACAGGTGTGATCCACTGAGCCCGGCCTAAAATAGACTACTTTTTGCAAGGCAAGGTTAGTCAGGGCTATATTCAGCTACACCAGAAGACATCAGGTATGAAAATAGATTAAAATACACCAGTAAAATATAAGTTTAGAAAAGAAGAAAATACTAGAAGGTGGGTTGATAGTAAAAATGTGGTAGCATAAATGATTCTTTTAAAATGAAAGGTATAATTATCCCTTTACAGTTTTGGTTCTGAATTTCCTAGACATTCCATCCTATAAGAAAGACTGTTCTCCTTGCATAGCCCTAACCTAGTTTTGTTTTTTCAGCTGTGTTACTTTTACCAGTTCAGAAAGTGAGTTTGGTTAGGGATTAGCTTATGATCAGCTCTAGCTACCGGGAGAAATATGAGTGTCAATAACAGTTGGTAGAATTAAAATCATAGATCCTTACCCCCATATTTATAACAGTGATGTATTATTCATTCAAACTATAACCCAAGTACCTGGAAACCTCAAATAATTATAATTTATGTGTTTTTTTTTCTTCCCTGAGAAACAGGATAATAAGAGTAATACAAATACAGACTTTACGTGGTGGGACAGGTAACCATCATTAAGAGGCCCAGAACCTGTATGTTTTTATTGCAGACTCCTGCACCCCTGTAACGTATAGCTAGAGAGCAGTGAAATTGGTTTCTAACATGGAATAAGCACTATCCAGATGCTGTCTCCCTAAAAATACTCACTGTAACTGTACTTAAAACAGTGATGCTGTTGTTATCCAAAGGGATTTTGAAATTGTTTTTTTGATCAGTTCTCAAAAGCACTTTCTGTGTTAAACAAGATTAGTTTCTTTACTGTGTCAGCTCAGTCTTGAACCAGTAACTATCAGCTGATTTTATCCTTTGTTAAGACTTGGCTATATCAGTAGTGTGCTAAATTATGGGAAAGTATAACTTCTTGTATTCATTCTCATATCCCTTGTCTCTCCCATTTACTTAAAAAAAAGCAGTTGCATTGTTTGTGACTACTATGTAGTTTGGTGACAACACTTATGTAGTTAACAAATACCTATACTAGGAATGTGTTCTCAGTGCTTTACAAATGTTAACTTATTTAAACCTCATAGCAACTCTGTCTCTCCATTTTATCAGTGAGAAAATGGAAGCACAAAGAGTTGAAGTATTAGTAGTTTACCCAATGTTTCACAGCCATTTAGTGGTAGAGCTGGGATTTGAACTCTGTTTCTGGAAGAGGTGCTCTTAAACATGGTTTTCCTTCTTTCCTCACCTACTTCATATGAAGAATAAAAAGGAGGGTAGGACAAAACCCGGAATTACAAAGAGCAAAAGCTCTCACATAATCCCACACCTAGAAGTCAGCATTGCTGATGTTTGAACATTATTATATCCTTGCTGCCTCTTTCTTGACGTGCCTCCTCACATAAATCATGTATTTACATGACTGGAATTAAATCTGCAAGAACTGTGAAGTATTAGCTTTCCACGTCAAAGCAGAGTAGCTATGAGTATTGTATTACAGTGATTTTTAGCATAATCACTTTAAATACTTTTCTCTTGACAGACGTTTGGTTTCCCAGTTTTTTTGAAATGATAAAGAGAGGACTGTGGTTAACATCCATGTGTACATGTGTCTATAGACTTACCAATTCTTAAGAATAAGTTTCTGGAAGTGATACTTCTGGTGCACAAAGCACACTTATTTATTTATTTTAGTAGGTAGCAATACAAAATTTGTGAAGTCCACACTTAGCTCATAGGTGAATAAAGCCTTAATTTGCATTTTTGTTAAGTTGAAAGTGTATTTCTATGTCTCTTTCTGTGAATTGCTTCTTTTGTTCATTTAAAATGGGATGATCTTATTCTAAGCCTTTATATTTTAGGCCGTTAACTGTAATATTACCAGTGTTTCCCTAACTGTAATATTACCAGTGTTTTCCTACCTCATCTGTCTTAAAGTTATTTATGATCTAAGATAATTTTTAAAATTATACTATTAACTATTCATTGCGATGATTAATTATAGGTCTTCTGTTAAAAGCAGTTATTTCTTATATTGTACTTAATGTCTTAGAAAAGCTATAAATAAGTAATTGAAACGAGTTTTGTGGTTAGTCTTTTTCCGAGTATTTCAGTTATTTAATGGGTGTTACGTTAAGCTATTGTTTCTTTTTAAAAAAATAGGTATCAGTCTGTGTGAGAGGATTTTCAGATAAGAGTAATGGTGAAACAGTCTCGTACAAAGTTAGAATTAAACTTATCATTTTTTGGTTATAGAATTACCTACATTTTTCTTAGTTAACTGGTTTTTTACATATTTTAGGTATGTCCCACCAGAACAGGCCAAAGTCGTGGCATCAGTTCATGCATCTATTTCAGGGTCCTCTGCCAGTAGCACAAGCAGCACACCTGAGGTCAAACCACTGAAATCTCTTTTAGGGGATTCTGCCCCAACACTGCACTTAAATAAGGGCACCCCTAGTCAGGTGAGTAGTCTTTGAATCTTTGTAGGGAGTTCAACTTAAGGAGGCTTGAGTATCAAGAATTTGAGAATTCTTTAAGACAGCAGCATAACCTTATATGCCAGTAGCATTATGTTCCAGTGGTTTATTATACATTAAGAAATTGTAGGTTAAGTGGGTGAAATGTATTTGTTTGTTTTTCTTGCTGTTGCTAATATGAGTTTCTTTGAATTCTCTGCAGCTTTGTACAGGTGAATTCTACAGGAATGTTGCTATAACTATATATACGTGTGTGTGTGTGTGTGTGTGTGTGTGTGTGTGTGTGTGTGTGTGTG